TTTTTTTTTTTTATTAAGAATCATCAATAAATTGATAAAATATCAGTATTAATATTTTTATATTTCATTACCCATCTATATGCAACCTGAAAAAGAGTATTTCTTATTCAGATTTTACAACTTTTATGTATTTTGTACTATTATTATGTACCTTGTATGTCTATATTTTAATAAAATAATTATTTGTTTATTATATAAAATATAAAAAAAGAAAGAAAATTATTGTCATCTTTTAACAGGAATACGTGAACAGATAAGATTTAATCTTTTTTAAAATATATTTATTTTACATCTTTTAAATTCACTAATAAAAGTAATTTATATTGAATAATATTGATTAGGTCTTTGATTAATGTTTATTATATTGTGTTTATAAATTTTGAGAATTTAATATAAATAATGCTTTTGGTTTGATCTTATTATGTACAGAGAGATGAAGCTACCCACAAGCTGAGGTTAAAAGTGATCGCTGGTCACCAATTAGCAAAGAAAGACATATTTGGTGCAAGCGATCCTTATGTGCGTGTTGATTTAAATACTATAAATGGAGACCAGATAATAGATTCTGCACTTACAAAAACTAAAAAAAAGACATTGAATCCTGTCTGGGAAGAAGAATTTATATTTAGAGTAAGTTTGTTATATTATAATTTATTGTTAAATTTAAGCTAAATTTAATATATTTATAGATATGTATATTCGTTATTATTAGGTCAAACCTGTTGAGCATAAATTGGTGCTACAAGTTTTTGATGAAAATAGATTGACTAGGGATGATTTTCTTGGTATGGTAGAATTAACATTGATTAATCTACCTAAAGAACAAGAAGGTCGTACAATTCCTGTTAGACGTTATTTACTTCGACCACGTAGGTAAATATTTTTATAATATATGCTTAAAGCTGTGTATTTTGTATGTTTTGAAGATTTAATCTATTTAGCTTCCTATCAAAATTATTTAGTTTCATATTACAAATATAATGTGAACATGCTGCTATATATACAATAAATATAATTAAATTATATCACTTTTATTCGTTTTCATTTTTATTATTTTTATATGCACTGTTTTATGATTTGGATCAGTTTTCCATCTAGTCATATTGGCTACATATCACCAATTTTGATGTTTAGTTCATTAATACATTTCTTTCGTATCTTTCATTTGCAAATGCAAAATGATTAACTTATGAGGATATGGCTAGTAATCATTCCAGTCAGCGTTCAAGAGTGAAGGGCACCTTGGAAGTATATCATGCATATATTTCTGACTCATCAATCGTGGACAATGATAATGGAGATACTGCATCTGACTCAGGAGGCTGGGAAATGGTACAACCAACAAATAATAGTCCTGAAGAACAGGCTGCAGATGTATGCCAATTATATATATATATATATATATATAATATGTTTTGCTTTGAACTTAAAAATTATTTGTATATAGAAATTAATATTTTAATTGAATATTCTCTTAGGTCATGTTTATTAGACATTTACCACCAGGGTGGGAAGAAAGACAAGATGCAAATGGGCGAACATATTATGTCAATCACATAGCAAGATTTACACAATGGGAACATCCAGCAGAATCGTATGTAATAGATATTCTATTTCAACAGAGTTACTTATTTATTTTAATAGATGTAAAAAATAACATTGAAATATTGGAATTTATTTACAGCACTACATCACCTAGTGGAAATATAACAGTTGAACGAAATTTCAATACTGCAGTAACTGAATTTCAGCGCCGTTTTCATATTAGTGCAGATGAAGAAAATAGACATAGAAGTTCAATTAATCAGGTAATAAGTTGCATAATTAATATTGCTATTGATAATATGTTGCATAAATAATACATATTTAAAGAAGGAAAGATGAAATGAACCTATTAACCAACCAATCAGCTTAGAATTTGTTTGTATTATAATTAAGTATTATGTTTTAAGCTTTATTTTGAGATTTAGAATTTAGTTGTAAATTTAGTAGTTGTGTGTGAAAAGACACACACACACGCACAAAACTTGAAATTTACATATTTAATATATTTTTGAATAATAAAAATATATTTATATCTTTAGGTAAAAGTAGAAACAGTAGAAACAATGACTACACATATCTTTTGCTTTATATGTTATGTAACGTTGTAAATTAATGTTTATAACTAAACATCTCTATAACACTGCTTAATATTTACAGAAACATTATGTTTTGTTGAATTGTGGCTGTATCTTTTAATAGATCCATCATTTTACTAAATATATATAAATGATTCGATATAAAAATATGAATATAAATGTTCAGTCAGTATGAAAACCTTTTAACAAATAGAATACTTAGCATGTGGTATGTAGCAATTTTGTGCATGTGTGTGTAAGGATGGTGAAGTTCTCCGCGAGGAAGGTGAAGATTCGGATGCGAGAGATAATGAGATTGAGAATCATAGGGGAGGGGGTAGTGGGAATACTTCTTCAGACTCTGGACATTCTGTTGATCAACATGGCTACGTTAGTGAATATGAAGACCAGGTACTCATTCATAGATATGATTATTTTCAATTGTATAAACTATTTTTATTTATTTGTGTTCGTTTATATAAAAAAAAGTAAAGATAAAAAGAAAGTATTACTTCTTGCTCTAAATCTAAAATTTTTATTACAAAACTTCACCGTTAGTTGGGTATAATAACTATACTAATTATTTTTTACTACTGCTTTTATTTAATCTTTAATTAACATATTTTCTTTTTATATGTTGTGTTATATGTTATATTATATTGATATGAGGGATTTATAAAAATTATATTATTGTAATTAATATTGTATTATTTTGATTGATTTTTGTTAACGAAATAATAATAAATTTGTAATATATTATAAAATGTTGAAACTGTATTAAATGTAATAGATGAAATTGATATATGTATATATTTATAATATATTATTATTACATTTACAGAGTGATGATAGTGTGGATAGTCCAGCTGGGTCTAGGCGATCATCTGAACAAGTCAGTATAATATTTTATTATCAAAATTATTTATTTGAAAGCTTTTTATTTTGATATTTAGATTGAAAGTCCGAAACCTGTGGTTCCTGCACCAAGCGATGAAGGATTACCACCTGGTTGGGGTATGCAAATAGCTCCGAATGGTAGAGTATTTTTCATTGATCATACTGCGAGGACAACGACATGGATCGATCCTCGAACAGGACGACCAAGTTCAATACCTAATCATGTTGCCCCTTCTACTACACCAAGAAGTGATTTAGATCAACTTGGTCCGCTTCCAGAAGGTTGGGAAGAAAGAGTTCATACAGATGGCCGAATATTTTTCATTGATCATAGTATGTCAATGTGTACTTAGATTTTATAAAATTTAGAAGTTTGATTAAGTAATATTTATCTTTCTACTTTTGTTCCATAGATACAAGAACAACACAATGGGAAGACCCTCGTATGTCTAATCCTCAAATCGCTGGGCCGGTATGAGAATTTCTAGTATTCAAAATTGATCACAAAATCATGATATATGATGTATAATTCATTTAATTTGTTGATTTTCCACAGGCTGTACCATATTCGCGAGATTATAAACGTAAATATGAATATCTTAAATCTCAGTTAAGGAAGCCTGTAAGTATCAACGTTCAAAATTTGTTCGAATTCGGTTTTTTTGTATCTATATTTAATTGTATCTATATATATATATATTTTTTTTTTAGAGCAATGTTCCTAATAAATTTGAAATCAAAGTTGGTCGAAATAACATTTTAGAAGATTCGTATCGCATAATTAGTTCTGTCAACAGAGTAGAAATATTAAAAACAAAATTATGGGTTGAATTTGAAGGAGAAGTTGGTTTAGATTATGGAGGTCTCGCTCGAGAATGGTTTTTCCTATTGTCTAAAGAAATGTTCAATCCCTACTATGGATTATTTGAATACTCTGCTACGTATGTATATTTATGTACAAATTATTCTCATATTGTAAACTATAAAAAAATAATAATTTAAATGTTTGTAGGGATAATTATACTTTGCAAATTAACCCCTTTTCAGGGGTATGTAATGAAGAACATTTAAATTACTTCAAATTTATCGGTCGTATAGCAGGTATGGCTGTGTACCATGGGAAATTGTTGGATGGTAAGAATTATTTCAGTCATATAGAAGATACAAAACATTCTATTATGGAACAGGTATAAGAAGAGCTTCTATCTTTTTACAGCGTTCTTTATTCGTCCATTTTATAAAATGATGTTAAGTAAATCTATCGACTTAAAAGATATGGAAAGCGTTGATTCAGAATATTACAATTCGTTATTATGGATTAAAGAAAATGATCCTAGTGAATTGGAGCTTACGTTTTGTGTTGATGAAGAAAGTTTTGGTCATACGTCTCAAAGAGAACTTAAACCAGATGGTGCTAATATACCATTGACAGATGAAAATAAAGATGAATATATAGCTTTAGTTATACAGTGGCGTTTTGTATCAAGAGTTCAAGAACAGATGAATGCATTTTTAGAAGGATTTAATGCTCTTATACCGCCAACATTAGTCAAAATATTTGATGAACATGAATTAGAATTATTAATGTGTGGTATTCAACATATTGATGTAAGAGATTGGAAACAAAACACGTTATACAAAGGAGACTATCACGCTAATCACATTGTTGTTCAGTGGTTTTGGCGAGTAGTACTGTCATTTAGCAATGAAATGAGATCCAGATTATTACAATTTGTAACTGGTACATCGCGAGTACCTATGAATGGTTTTAAAGAACTATATGGTAGCAATGGTCCACAATTATTTACAATTGAGAAATGGGGTACACCAGAAAATTATCCAAGAGCTCATACCTGGTATGTAACTTTAAGCTTATATATAATTTATAAAATAAGAATATAATAAGGATTTAAAGAAAAAAATACTAAAGAGAAAGTAAAATTATATCTGATGATTAACATATTTATTTCAGTTTTAATCGCATAGACCTTCCTCCATATGAAAGTTATCAACAATTGAGAGAGAAATTGATAAAAGCAATTGAAGGTTCTCAAGGTTTTGCTGGAGTGGATTAGCACGAAATACCCCTTTTCATGATGATATCTGTAATATAATGTACATATATACATACATATATAGATACACAACCATGTATACTATCTAATATGATTAACTATTTAACAGGATAACATATTTCTGCACTCTGAAGACTTAGGTGTCTTTTGACTGCTAGTTACAACATTAAGACAAATCAATGAAAAGTACGTTTAGATATTATCTGCTATAAATAATTCAAAAAAATTTTACGCATGATGCACTTTAAAAATTGTAAACTATATTTAACGAACAGAAGAAAAGAAATTGATAGTAATCTCAAATGCTGTTTCAGCAATTGTTGAATTACAATTTATTAACGCGTTCACTTTCTAAATGTAATTATATATTTTGATAGTTACTACAT